ACCAGTGATATTGTATACTGACCATAACCCCTTAGTTTTCTCCACCGGATGTACAACCAAAACCAACGCCTTATGCGTTGGGCACTTGTAGTGCAAAATTATTATTTGGAGATCCGCCACAAAAAGGGGTCGGATAATGTGTTGGCAGATGCTTTGTCTCGTGTTTAAAGATCTAGTTTTTTTTTGTTATCCCGTCAGGATGCTGTTGATCTTTAAATGTTGGGTGTTGTGATGGTACGTGTGTCGCAAACCATTGTGGTTTGCTCTTTTAAGGGTGGGAGTGTTACGGATACAGGTATCCTGTGTCTTTTTGTGTTTTTCCTCTCCTTCTGCCCTAATCACAGGTGTCCTGTATGTTCCTGATTGGTGGTCGTTGGGGTGTCTGCTGATTGCTAAGGTGGACCAATCAGTGGACATTCCTCTGCATTGCACCACCTGTTTCTGGTTTTTCAATCACACATCCCATTGTTTAAAATCCGGTCAGTTGTGTTTGTTGTTAGAGACTATTTTCCATATGTGAGTATGGATACTGTGGTGTCCTGTGTTTTTGTGTACTCACTCATTTGCTGGTTACTCTGTTTGGTAACTTTGTGTTTCTGGGAAAAGGGGAATTTAAGCAAGTTGCCCTTGGGCGTACATTACCCATAGGAAGAAAACTGTCTAAAAACACTAGTTAGACCTGAGCGGACCACCCACTGTAATTTTTGTATGATTAGCATAGCTTAGCGGTTCTTGAGGCAGGCAAGATCAGTTTAGGGGTGTTTTAACACTATTGTTTCATTCTTGGGTCCTGCTCAGCCTTTTTCCCAAACCTTTACTGTGTGTTCAAAAATAAACGTCTCTGCGGTAGTTGCTTCCATTAACGGATTTGCTCAGTCCGGCGAGAAAATGTGTATGGTCTGAAGATTGTAGTACTGCTTTCAACACTGCTAAAGCACTCTTATGTAGTACTCCTGTTCTTGCTGCGCCAGATTTTGAACGACCGTTTAAACTGGAGGTAGATGCAAGTGCCAGAGGTGCTGGTGCTGTTCTACTGCAGCAGAACCAGAGTGGAGTGGACCATCCTGTCTGTTATTTTTCACGGAAATTTAACAAATGTCAGACAAACTATTCCACCATTGAACAAGAAGCTCTAGCTTTGTTGTTAGCTCTGCAGTACTTTGAAGTTTATGTTGGTTCCAGTGCATTACCAGTGATATTGTATACTGACCATAACCCCTTAGTTTTCTCCACCGGATGTACAACCAAAACCAACGCCTTATGCGTTGGGCACTTGTAGTGCAAAATTATTATTTGGAGATCCGCCACAAAAAGGGGTCGGATAATGTGTTGGCAGATGCTTTGTCTCGTGTTTAAAGATCTAGTTTTTTTTTGTTATCCCGTCAGGATGCTGTTGATCTTTAAATGTTGGGTGTTGTGATGGTACGTGTGTCGCAAACCATTGTGGTTTGCTCTTTTAAGGGTGGGAGTGTTACGGATACAGGTATCCTGTGTCTTTTTGTGTTTTTCCTCTCCTTCTGCCCTAATCACAGGTGTCCTGTATGTTCCTGATTGGTGGTCGTTGGGGTGTCTGCTGATTGCTAAGGTGGACCAATCAGTGGACATTCCTCTGCATTGCACCACCTGTTTCTGGTTTTTCAATCACACATCCCATTGTTTAAAATCCGGTCAGTTGTGTTTGTTGTTAGAGACTATTTTCCATATGTGAGTATGGATACTGTGGTGTCCTGTGTTTTTGTGTACTCACTCATTTGCTGGTTACTCTGTTTGGTAACTTTGTGTTTCTGGGAAAAGGGGAATTTAAGCAAGTTGCCCTTGGGCGTACATTACCCATAGGAAGAAAACTGTCTAAAAACACTAGTTAGACCTGAGCGGACCACCCACTGTAATTTTTGTATGATTAGCAGTAGCTTAGCGGTTCTTGAGGCAGGCAAGATCAGTTTAGGGGTGTTTTACACTATTGTTTCATTTCTTGGGTCCTGCTCAGCCCTTTTTCCCAAACCTTTACTGTGTGTTCAAAAATAAACCTTTTATGTTTGACGGTAGTTTATGGTTGTCATGTAGTTTTTGTTCTCACTGTTCCATGTCACGCTTCTAATTTGCATGAATTATGTTACGGGTCTCTTGTCCATCCACCCTAGACGTTTAAAGCCACGGGGTTCGTAACAGGGATACTTCGGGATTTTGGCGATGAGGCCCTTTATCTACTTCCCCACATTTCACATGTGACATTCCCATACACATGTATTACCTATACATCTTTGCACTTATTAAGACTGCCATCAATTAATCTGACTATTCTCTCGTCATTGATTTCATTTACTTATTTCACCAATTTGATGGTTTTCGGTATAGTTGTCTAATTTTGGTGGGGCATATTATTCTGTTTCAATGTTACTCCTGAATCACTACGATAAACATACGTTTTTCTTGAGTTTATTTTTAACAAAGCTGAGATTCACTTTGAAGTCCAAAGTGTAAGAATACAGGTGTAATCAGTTAGTTTCCCAGGTGAGGACATGTTGAATAATAATTACTGTATAAATAAACATACATATTTGACATACAAGACTACATTGTGTAAGTTAAAAGCACTGTGTGTATCATAATGACTCATTTTTGTTTTCACATGTGACATTTGTTCCAAAACCACCCTTTCACATGTGAAATCATTAGATCTTTCCATAAGGGTGTGTGATATGTTTGAATTGCTTTGCGGTAATAACAGCTGTTCCTTTCACATTTGTTCAATGTGCTCCCTGGGACAGAACATGAAGATATGGGCCTGCAAGCAGCTATCTAAAGCTAATCCTCACACTACAATGAATTAAAGCTTTTATTTTATTTTTCATGAACATTTCATTGTAAGTAAAGACTAGTCAGAATTCCTGTCTGTTTGTGCTATGCTAACTAATGCCAAATAACATACATTGGCTTGACAATGTCAGTAATGGAGTTTGCATTTCAACAACACAAACATATCTGGAACCAGGCTAAGGAAAGACTATCCACCTGCCACTAGTAGACATGTCTGTCCAGGCTTGTACCCAGGGAGCCAAAGCTCCCCAGAGGCTGTCAAGACCAGGCAATGTCTCCCATATTCCATCAGTCACAATGTTACACACTGAAAATCAATGAAAGACCTCCAAAGTACTGAGCATCTGTCCACAATAATGTCTTGCACACTCAATATAAGTAAGTAAGTAAACATTTCACTGTTGGTCTACACCTGTTGTTTAAGTAAGTCAGCATTTCACTGTTAGTCTACATCTGTTGTTTACGAAGCATGTGACAAATACAATTTGATTTGATTTTAGATCAGCTTAGACATTGGACAGGATCAGAGATATAAATAGCATTTCCTCATTGCACTATAGGGCTATTCCACACCACTATAGCCTTAAAATATTTTTGGTATCTCAGATTGTTCTGGCAATTCTCACATAGTAACTTCACTGGGAGGAGATGTTTGACATGCTTTTTACATTTGTATCACAAACAGTTTTTTTTTGAAAATCATGACGAAAGTGGCCATTTTAGGCCCTTTTAGAACTACATATGCCTCCTGTAAGCCCCTATGATCTGTGAACCATACATGATACAGACAATATATTGGTGTCATTATACTCCTTATAGTGTTCTCTTAAATATGGAGTATGTCTAGATTCTGAAATAAAACATTTCACATTCATCTATTCAACATTACACATATTAATATTTCAAAAGTACCCTTTTTGATTTAGTTTATTTTTAGGCATATTGTTTGTATCAATATACTCTTCAAACTCGTCAAATTTCCAGAGTGGGCTCTCTGGTACTTTTAATGATATGACCCATTTTATACATATAAATGGACATAATCGGTCATTAATCAATCACAGCCCTCCTTTAGGATTGCACATTCAGCAAATCACAAGCAGAGGGAGTTCCCTTTGACTCCATGTTCCCATTCACTGTGTTGATGGTGCTCATCAAATTTATCAAACCTTCAGAATTAGCAGAGAGCCCACTATGGAAAGTTGATGTACTTGTAGAGTATACAGTATTGGGTAGCACTTTATTTGACACCTAGCGTCATAACATTTTATAACACGGTCATAACACTGTCATAATATGGTCATAACACTGTCATTACACATATTTACACCTTTTTGTGACATATTGCGTTATGGCTGGTTATGACACCTACATAAGAGAGTGTCACAACATGTTGAAATATACACGGAGTGTACAAAACATTAGGAACACCTTTTAATATTGAGTTGCACCCCCTTTTGCCCTCAACAGCCTCAATTCGTCGGGGCACAAGGTGTCGAAAGCATTCCACAGGGAAGCTGGCCCATGTTGACTCCAATGCGTCCAACAGTTGCGTCAAGTTGGCTGGATGTCCTTTGGGTGGTGGACCATTCTTGATACTCACAGGAAACTGTTGAGCATTAAAAACCCAGCAGTGTTGCAGTTCTTGACATACTCAAACCGGTGCGTCTGGCACCTAATACCATACCCTGTTCAAAGTAACTTCAATATTTTGTCTTGCCCATTCACCCTCTTAATGGCACTCGTACACAATCCATGTCTCAATTGTCTCAAGGCTTAAAAATCATTCTTTAACCTGTCTCCTCCCCTTCATCTACTGTACACTGACATTAATAAGGGATCATAGCTTTCACCTGGATTCACCTGGTCAGTCTGTAGAAAGAGCAGGTGTTCCTAATGTTTGTACACTCAGTGTATGTGTCATGGCAGGGTTATGACCATATTTTGACAGGTTATGTCAGCAATTATGACATATTATGACATGGTTATGACCGTGTTATAACTTATTATGATGCTTGGTGTCAAATGAAGTGTTACCATATATTGTTCCAAATAATAGGTCTTAAAATGAAAATGAAGGGTACTTTTGAGATATCAGGCTGCCTCAGCTCACTGGGGGGGCAGATATGACCAACGAGTCCACCGGAGCCACCAACACCACAGCTGAGTACGAGACCCAGCTGATGGAGAACCGCAGTAAACTGGAAAGCCTCACCCTGGACACAGTCAAACTGAAGATCGAGCTGGACGGCATCTGGGGAACCGCCCATGAGATGAAGGCAAGTAGGTCTCACTGCATGCCTTCTCGTTGAGAGAAGTGCATGTCTGCATCCCAAATGACACCCTATTCCCTTTATAGTACACAACTTTTGATCAGGGTAAATAGTGATGCATCCAATGTGATTTGTTTTTACATGCTAGCTATTCATTGTCTGCTAAACAAATTGTGAGAAGGTGATTATGATTTCCTGTCATACCTGTCACCTTTTGTCATGCAGGTATGATTTTGAACAAGGTGTGAGGTATCAGCTGGAATCAGAAATTGCCACCATGAGGAGGGTACTGCAGAATCTACGCTTATAAATATCAGATTTGATTCAATATAATTTCCTGTTCAATTAGACAACAATCGCTATAACTATGACTCTCCATCATGTAGGACATTGACATGGCCCACGATCTCCACATTGAACTAGATGCGAAACACTCTAGCCTTAAAGATGAGCTGGACTTTGTCATCAAGACTCAGGACGAGGTAATAGCCTAGAACAGTGTTTCCCAACCCTGGTCCTCGAGTACCCCCAACAGTACACATTTGTATTGTAACCTTGGACAAGTTCACCTGATTCAACTTGTCAATTAATCATCAAGCCCTCAATGAGTTGAATGAGGTGTGTTTGTCAAGGGCTACAACAAAACTGTGTACTGTTGGTGGTACTCAAGGACCAGGGTTGTGAAACACTGGCCTAGAATACATCACAGAGCACTGTATGCGTGCATGGGATGCTTGTGTGTAGATGTGTACATCTCTACATTCATTGTGAGATGGTGAGCAAGGCAAACTTCAGAGAGAACACTGAAGTTCTCTCTGTGAAAAGTAAAGTTATTCTATTGTATTCTATTAAACGACATACAACTGTTTGAGACTGCACCAGATTGTAGGAGTGTTGTGATGTGAACTATAATGAGTGGTATTGGCTGACAGATGGTTTTACAGGAGCTGTTCAGTATTCAGTCCAAACTGGGGACCTCGTCCACTGACACATCAGTATCTATGATTGAGGGGGACACGGTCAAGTCCTTTAACATCGCTTCTGCCCTCAACAAGATAAGAGCGGAGTATGAGAAATCATTACAGCATCACAGAGAGAAGGCAGATGCCTACTACAAAATCAAGGTACAGCTCACACAAAATACAAAATGCAAGTTGATGGCGTTAGGCCTACTAAATGTAAATATTACATTTTATTATTGTAATACAAGTTAGATTTCTAAACAATATGAATTATATTTGTTACTTATTTCAAAGCCATTGTAATTTTATGCTGTGAAAATGCAATACACTCTCTGCCCAATAGGGGTCAGTAGATATGGGTGGATGTCTCATGGTGAATGAGATAGGCCTACTTTGAAAATATTTGGACATGAGGATGATATGTTTTTGGGGAGCAACACAAGGTATAAATCCTTTGAAATCTGAGTAATGCAATTACTAGTGCATGGTTTCCAAAGTTTGAAAAGCACACCAACTAGTTACTGAACAACTAGTTATACTGTTGTCTTTTCACTCAGAAAAGGCCTATAAACTACTCAAAGGGCATTTGGCCTATAGGAACAAGTGGGAGGAACACTTTGGCTTGATCTATTGATCTTTTTAGAGTTGAAACTGTCACAGACACCACAAGCTTGTGTCCCCTGGTAAGACAGACGTTGTGTCCCAAATGGCACCCTATTCCCTACATAGTGCACTACTTTTGACTAGAACCTATAGGGAATAGGGTGCCATTTGGGACGCACAATGGTGTGATGATGTGGTGACCAGCCAACCGTTACTCTCCTCTTGTTTTGAGTGAAACTCACCAAGCTGCAGAGCAGAGCAGTCTGCCCTGGGTTAACCCCCAGTTAGTGGTGTCTCTGGTGCAGACAATGTGTGCAGTGTACCATACTTCCTAAAGGCAGGGGAAGAAACAAACAACTGCCAGCCAGTTTGTTGTTGGATTGATGTTTTATTAAAATAACTGACATGCAGACAAATATACAGTTGAAGTATGAAAATGTATGCACTCACTAACTGTAAGTCGCCTATGGATAAGAGCGTCTGCTAAATGACTAAAATGTCAAATGTAAATGTAAGTCGGATGTTTACATACACCTTAGCCAAGTACATTTCAACTCAGTTCTTCATAATTCCTGACATTTAATCCTAGTAAAGATTCCCTGTCTTAGGTCAGTTAGGATCACCACTTCATTTTAAGAATGTGAAATGTCAGAATAATAGTAGAGAGAATGATTTATTTCAGCTTTTATTTATTTCATCACATTCCCAGTGGGTCAGAAGTTTACATACACTCAATTAGTATTTGGTAGCATTGCCTTTAAATTGTTTGACTTGGGTCTAATGTTTCGGGTAGCCTTCCACAAGCTTCCCACAATAAGTTGGGTGAATTTTGGCCCATTCCTCCTGACAGAGCTGGTGTAACTGAGTCAGGTTTGTAGGCCTCCTTGCTCGCACACGCTTTTTCAGTTCTGCCCACAAATTTTCTATAGGATTGAGGTCAGGGCTTTGTGATGGCCACTCCAATACCTTGACTTTGTTGTCCTTAAGCCATTTTGCCACAACTTTGGAAGTATGCTTGGGGTCATTGTCCATTTGGAAGACCCATTTGCGACCAAGCTTTAACTTCCTGACTGATGTCTTGATGTCTTGCTTCAATATATCCACATCATTTTCCTTCCTCATGATGCCATCTATTTTGTGAAGTGCACCAGTCCCTCCTGCAGCAAAGCACCCCCACAGCATGATGCTGCCACCCCCGTTCTTCACGGTTGGGATGGTGTTCTTCGGCTTGCAAGGACCCACCTTTTTCCTCCAAACATAACGATGGTCATTATGTCCAAACAGTTGTATTTTTTTTTCATCAGACCAGAGGACATTTCTCCAAAAAGTACGATCTTTGTCCCCATGTGCAGTTGCAAACCATAGTCTGGCTTTTTTATGGCGGTTTTGGAGCAGTGGCTTCTTCCTTGCTGAGCGGCCTTTCAGGTTATGTCGATATAGGACTAGTTTTACTGTGGATATAGATACTTTTGTACCTGTTTCCTCCAGCACCTTCACAAGGTCCTTTGCTGTTGTTCTGGGATTGATTTGCACTTTTCGCACCAAACTACGTTCATCTCTAGGAGACAGAACGTGTCTCCTTCCTGAGCGGTATGACGGCTGCGTGGTCCCATGGTGTTTATACGTGCATACTATTGTTTGTACAGATGAACGTGGTACCTTCAGGCGTTTGGAAATTGCTCCCAAGGATGAACCAGACTTGTGGAGGTCTACAATTTTTTTTCTGAGGTCTTGGTTGATTTCTTTTGATTTTCCCATGATGTCAAGCAAAGAGGCACTGAGTTTGAAGGTAGGCCTTGAAATACATCCACATGTACACCTCCAATTGACTCAAATGATGTCAATTAGCCTATCAGAAGCTTCTAAAGCCATTACATAATTTCCTGTATTTTCCAAGCTGTTTAAAGGCACAGTCAACTTAGTGTATGTAAACTTCTGACCCACTGGAATTGTGATACAGTGAATTATAAGTGAAATAATCTGTCTGTAAATTACTTGTATCATGCACAAAGTAGATGTCCTAACCGACTTGCCAAAACTATAGTTTGTTAACAAGAAATTTGTGGAGTGGTTGAAAAATGAGTTTTAATGACTCCAACCTAAGTGTATGTAAACTTCCGACTTCAACTGTAGATGTACATACAGTCGTGGTCAAAAGTTTTGAGAATGACACAAGTATTGGTCTTCACAAAGTTTGCTGCTTCAGTGTTTTTAGATATTTTTGTCAGATGTTACTGTGGTATACTGAAGTATAATTACAAGCATTCCATAAGTGTCAAAGGCTTTTATTGACAATTACATTAAGTTTATGCAAAGAGTCAATATTTGCAGTGTTGACCCTTCTTTTTCAAGACCTCTGCAATCCGCCCTGGCATGCTGTTAATTCACTTCTGGGCCACATCCTGACTGATGGCAGCCCATTCTTGCATAATCAATGCTTGGAGTTTGTCAGAATTTGTGTGTTTTTGTTTGTCCACCCGCCTCTTGAGGATTGACCACAAGTTCTCAATGGGATTAAGGTCTGGGGAGTTTCCTGGCCATGGACCCAAAATGTCGATGTTTTGGTCCCCGAGCCACTTAGTTATCACTTTTGCCTTATGGCAAGGTGCTCCATCATGCTGGAAAAGGCATTGGTCGTCACCAAACTGTTCTTGGATGGTTGGGAGAAGTTGCTCTCGGAGGATGTGTTGGTACCATTCTTTATTCATGGCTGTGTTCTTAGGCAAAATTGTGAGTGAGCCCACTCCCTTGGCTGAGAAGCAACCCCACACATTGAATGGTCTCAGGATGCTTTACTGTTGGCATGACACAGGACTGAGGGTAGCGCTCACCTTGTCTTCTCAGGACAAGCTTTTTTCCGGATGCCCCAAACAATCGGAAAGGTGATTCATCAGAGAAAATGACTTTACCCCAGTCCTCAGCAGTCCAATCCCAGTACCTTTTGCAGAATATCAGTCTGTCCCTGATGTTTTTCCTGGAGAGAAGTGGCTTCCTCGCTGCCCTTTTTGACACCAGGCCATCCTCCAAAAGTCTTCGCCTCACTGTGCATGCAGATGCAGTCACACCTGCCTGCTGCCATTCCTGAGCAAGCTCTGCACTGGTGGTGCCCCGATCCCGCAGCTGAATCAACTTTAGGAGACTGTCCTGGCGCTTGCTGGACTTTCTTGGGCGCCCTGACGCCTTCTTCACAACAATTGAACCTCTCTCCTTGAAGTTCTTGATGATTCGATAAATGGTTGATTTAGGTGCAATCTTACCAGCAGCAATATCCTTGCCTGTGAAGCCCTTTTTGTGCAAAGCAATGATGACGGCACGTGTTTCCTTGCAGGTAACCATGGTTAACAGAGGAAGAACAATGGTTTCAAGCACCACCCTCCTTTTAAAGCTTCCAGTCTGTTATTCAAACTCAATCGGCATGACAGAGTGATCTCCAGCCTTGTCCTCGTCAACACTTTCACCTGTGTTAACGAGAGAATCACTGACATGATGTCAGCTGGTCCTTTTGTGGCAGGGCTGAAATGCAGTGGAAATGTTTTTTGGGGGATTAAGTTCATTTTCATGGCAAAGAGGGACTTTGCAATTAATTGCAATTCATCTGATCACTCTTCATTACATTCTGGAGTATATGCAAATTGCCATTATAAAAACTGAGGCAGCAGACTTTGTGAAAATTAATATTCTCAATCTCAATATTCTCATTCTCAAAACTTTTGACCACGACTGTACATGCATACTTACAGACACTCACTCCTTCTTTCTCATGCAAACATGTATATGCATGTTTCAACTCTGAAATTGACTCGCATCAAGAATCCTGCAGCTCATATAAAGAATACACTGAATGATGTTCTCAGAGTGTGTATGACACAGTAGCTAATGCCCCGTGCTGCTCTGTCTCTGTCTGCAGATGGAGGAGGTCCAGGCTACCAATGCCACCAGCTCTGAGGCCCTCACCACCTCCAAGGCAGAGATCTCTGCCTCCAGGAAAGAACTGCAGGCCCCCAGTCTGGTTCTGCAGAGTTTGGTCAACATGGTGAGTCGGGTCTGTGTGTGTGATTACACCATCTCAATCTATTGTACCAATACCATCTCGTATGTGAATAGAACTCTTCACTGGCCTTAGAGCGATATCTATAGTCATAGTGAAATTGTTCATGAAACCATGTATGTCAGTCAGTGATGCTGTGACAGCGCCACGATGCAGCTGGCAAGCTGATGAGTATCAGAGTTTGATATAAATCAGTGCTAACAGTCACACAGGATGTGGTTGCTATGATGTCTCGCAATGCCAAACTCCCTTACTACACAAAAAGCAAGACTGCTTCCCAGAAGACACTGGGGCAACTGTTTAAAGGTAGGGGACTAAAGGGGGTTTGCCAAGGCACCAACGGGATTGTTTTCTTTTGACCTCAAAATCAGTCTGCTGTATTGTGTTTTTCTTTAGACATTTTAAGTGGAGGTCCTGTTTATGGGAAATGGGGTGCATTGACTGACACTTTTATTTTGAAAGACACACTTTTGATGACAGGGTGATGGTGATTATGTTGTCCCAGTTAAACAATGAGCTAGCTAAAATGAGCTAGTTAGTTAGTTAGTTAGTTAACAGATCCTCCTCCTCCTCCCTTCTCTCTGTAGAACATGTCCCTGGAGCGTAGCTTTGCCGAGGCTCATGCTCAGTCCAGTGGGGGCGTGGCGGAGTACCAGGCCCAGATCAGGAGCCTGGAGGGGGCCATCGAGGTGGCCAAGGTGGACCTGCACAAGCAGATCCTCAGCTAGCAGGAGCCGCTGGACGCCAAGCTGGCCCTGGATGCGGAGATCACCACCTACCGGACACTTCTGGACTGGGATGACCTCAGGTTAGAGTGCTGATCTATGATCAATTTTGCCTTATGAATGTGGGCTCAGAGGTCTCATTCAATTCAATTTAATTAATACTTTATTGCCACTCGACAATGGTTAATAGGGATATGGATACATTATCCACCTCATCCACCAGTGACAGTGAGGCAATAACCAGTTGGCTGTCCTTCTAGTTTCCCCATCCAGTCCTATGGCTCCTCCCCTCTCTACATGTCCAGTTCACCCGGCCCCTCCTCCCACATCAGGAGCCCCTCCTCCTCCAAATCTGGAGTTCTGGCAGAGCTCACTACAGTGATGAAGAAAGAGTTTAGTTAGTTTAAGATCAAATAGTCAGTTCTGAGCAATTGGTAAATGTCTTGCATCATTCAATATCATTGAAAAATGAAATAGTTTCCTGTTTTTGACCTCTCTTTCAGGGTATCTGCAGAGAGTATGTCTTTCACAAAGACCTCCTACAATTACACAGGTGAGAAAACAGTATGGAGACCACCAGTCATCTCTAGTCTCTTTCAGGGAAGGACTGGCACCAGAAACCGGTCCGGGCATTTCTCATACCGGACAATTTTTGGGCCGATGTAGAGACTCTACATCGGCCCATTCCCCCCCACTCCCCCCCTAGAGAGCCCTACATCGGCCCATTTTATTGGCCAAATAATGATCTTTCTGTAAAATAAAAAAAATGTAGACAGGCCCACTGGCTTAAAGATGGACTAGCCCGTCTGGCATTTGCCCAAGCTGCCATATGCCAGTCTGAGGATATGAGTAATTTAATTACTAAGGTAAATCATAGATGTCACATATCCACACCATTGAAACCAGACAATAACTATTTAACTTTTCTTATCTATGCATCACTGTGTTGTGTCATTCTTCTTAGGAAGAGTGCCACTTTCTCTTGATCAATTCTATCTTAGATTTAAAAAGCTAACGTCATTAATGACTTAATACTGATTAATGTTATCTAATTCTTGTTACAGTGACAGATGAAGTGATTGAGAGTGAGACCAAAGAAGAAGTGGTCACGGGTGAGTTCCTGTAACCTTATAATTTGACCAGACAGAGCCAATGTGTTGGTAGACCAATGATACTGTACCATGTGGCTTAGGAGGGTCATACCACGTCCGTGAATCACTGTCAATGTGAATCAGTCTCAAGCACTCAGATTATCTGTCGGAGTTGCCCCTATAACTCTTACTCTCAGTATCACCATCAACCACATAATGTTATGTACGTAGCATAGGCCTATTACTTAATAATCAGTCATTCTAAGTCTTAGACAGAATTTCAAAGAGGAGATGTTGTTGGAACTAAGAATGCTTTCTCTCCACAGAGGCCTACTCTGAGACCACTACTAATGCATCTGATGCAGAGTCTGAGTCCTAGGTCAGACCTGTCACGCCCTGGCTCTGGGGACTCTTTAATGTTGAGCCAGGGTGTTAGTTTCTATGTTTTGTGTTTCTATGTTGGCCGGGGTGGTTCTCAATCAGAGGCAACGTGAATCAGCTGTTGCTTGTTGTCTCTGATTGGGAACCATACTTAGGTAGTCGTTTGGCATTTGTGTGGTGTGGTATCTTGTTCCGTGTAGGTTTGTGTTTGTGAACCTGTGGACTTCACGTATCGTTTGTTGTTTTTGTTCGTGTGTTGTACATCTAATAAATCATGTACGCTTATCACGCTGCGCCTTGGCCCGTTTCATCTAATGACGATCGTGACAAGACCACAGCAGCACAGCATGGTTTATCATATTTCAGTATCAGTGTGTGTGTGTGTGTGTTTTCGAGCATTGTGTGTGTGTGACAGAGAAGTCTGTCCTGGGCCTGCACAGGTGTTAAAGCACCTACCATGCACATCAGAGCTACAGTAACGCTGCTTTGCCATGTGTCAATTAGGACTGATGTCACCACCAACACCTGTCCGTCTGTCACTTTCTTCAAGAGTGTGTTCTCATAGGCACCCTAATGTACCCTTACCCCAGCTAACAGGCCATGGCTGTTTCATTTTGCCTCTTTGTGGTCCAAACCGAGAAACGCAACCTGAAAATTATAGAAGAAGAGACTGGTAGCTACGCTCAACCTCCGGCATCTCACCCCTGGGTCCTCAGTCTCTGAGACGGAAACTGCTAAATCAGCTTGGGTAGTGAAACCTTTATGAGGATGGCACAATGGCTTGCATTGTACTCTACTCTCTGTTTTACTCAGTGCCTAAAGAGGGTTCGAAACACTCTTCCTTACACCTACTCACAGGAAACACACAACCATGCAGACTTCCCTCTCCCTTTATGTTTCTATCATAACAGAGTCACTTTGGAAACTCAAAAGGTTGATATCATGGTAAACAATATCAAGTTTTCTCAAACTTGCTGGAACCTGGAACTCAGCCCGATAAAAAACCATTATATCTTAAAATGAATTCAATCAAAACTATCAATACTGATTCCTCATTTTCATTTATCCATGTTGTAAACAAGTCAAAGAATGCAAGGTACTTTTTATTAAGTGTCTCTTGGGGATACTAAATGTGGTTTGCCTACATTTCTTTAATTTCCCTTCACAATGTCTGCTCATAGTAGTTGCACCTCCCTTTCTACGGTGTCTGCTTCTTTCCCACAATAGTAAAAATGGGTGTTTCTCAGATGTAGTGCACTTTCAAATAGGGAACACCTGACTAGATCATTGTGGGTCCTGTGACATACAGTGCCTTGCAAAAGTATTCATCCCCCTTGGCATTTTTCCTATTTTGTTGCATTACAACCTGTAATTTAAATGGATTTTTATTTGGATTTCATGTAATGGACATACACAAAATTGTCCAAATTGGTGAAGTGAAATGAAAAAAATAACTTGTTTCAAAAGATTATACAAAATAAATAATGGAAAAGTGGTGCGTGCATATGTATTCACCCCCTTTGCTATGAAGCCCCTAAATAAGATCTGGTGCAACCAATTACCTTCAGAAGTCACATAATTAGTTAAATAAAGTTCACCTGTGTGCAATCTAAGTGTCACATGATCTCAGTATATATACACACCTGTTCTGAAAGGCCCCAGAGTCTGCAACACCACTAAGCAAGGGGCACCACCAAGCAAGCGGCACCATGAAGACCAAGGAGCTCTCCAAACAGGTCAGGGACAACGTTGTGGAGAAGTACAGATCAGGGTTGGGTTATAAAAAAATATCAGAAACTTTGAACATCCCACGGAGCACCATTAAATCCATTACTAAAAAATTGAAAGAATATGGCACCACAACAAACCTGCCAAGAGAGGGCCACCCACCAAAACTCACGGACCAGGCAAGGAGGGCATTATTCAGAGAGGCAACAAAGAGACCAAAGATAACCCTGAAGGAGCTGCAAAGCTCCACAGCGGAGATTGGAGTATCTGTCCATAGGACCACTTTAAGCCATACACTTCACAGAGCTGGGCTTTATGGAAGAGTGGCCAGAAAAAAGCCATTGCTTAAAGAAAAAAAATAAGCAAACACATTTGGTGTTCACCAAAAGGCATGTGGGAGACTCACCAAACATATGGAAGAAGGTACTCTGGTCAGATGAGACAAAAATTGAGCTTTCTGGCCATCAAGGAAAACGCTATGTCTGGAGCAAACCCAACACCGGTGAATAGTTATGCACGCTCAAGTTGTTGTTTTTTTGTCTTATTTCTTGTTTGTTTCACAAAAAATATTTTGCATCTTCAAAGTGGTGGGCATGTTGTGTAAATCAAATGATACAAAGCCCACAAAAATACATTTTAATTCCAGGTTGTAAGTCAACAAAATAGGAAAAATGCTTTCGCAAGTCCTCTACACAGTGCAAATGTATGTTCACTGTGATAATGCTGTCACAACAGCCCACCATGAACCTCCCCATCTCACCACACTGGTGTTATCTTACACCTACTACCAAGGTTCTCCATTTCACATTTCATTTCTTCCAGGCACTAAGTGCTTCACTTGAGAATACTGTGTTGTGTAAAATGTGGCGTGACATGAAGGTCTATGACTGGTTTTTGGAGGGATGTGGGAGTATTGTTACAGCAGAAAGAGACAACAGGTCTGAGACCCAATGTGTAGAGCAGATATGACTAATAACGCCTGCATGCAATGCTATTAGTTTCTGTGTAAGTTGGTGTCTCATAGAACAAATGCAAGTCATCACTAGCATGCTGACAGACATGAGTGCCAGAGAGGTTCCCTAAAATGAAACACAGTATCTCAATTTAATACTCCTAAAGTAGCCAGTGGAGGCTGCTGACGGAGCACGGCTCATAGTAATGGCTGGAATGTAGTCAATGGAATGGTATCAACCACATATTTGATGCCATTCCATTGACTCCATTCCAGACATTATTATGAGCCGTCCTCCCCTCAGCAGCCTCCACTGATCCACACGTGACATTGTGGTTAAGGCAAACCATAAAAGCTGGTGATGATGTGACAGGTAGCAATATTCGTCAAGGGCTTGAGGAAAGCATTGAAATCTAGTTTGCTAGTAGCATCTCATCACAGACTGGGTAAGTTCCTGTAACATTGTCTTTGTTATCAACATTCTAGTGAGTTTTGTTCCAAAATGTGTGATGTTCTTGCATAGTAATGGATAGTACTCTTTTGTAAACATTTTTGTTAGATTATATATTTTCGTTGGGGGTCGAAGGTGATAAATTATGACATGATCAAGTGTTAAAGTGTATTTAGTAAATACATATTTTCCCACATATATTAGGTTATTTGGGGACTAAACACATTACATTTTCCTTCTTCTGACAGGTAAAATGGAGTTGCCATCATTCACAATATTTCCAACTGATGAAACTGTAAGTATTATCTCAATCTAATTGCTTGTACTTACAACTATAAAGCCATGCTATAAAATAAGTTAGGGAGCAGCAGCAAACATCAGCAGAGAATGGATTCGATCCAAATATGTTAATTGTAGCCAAGAGTATCTAGTGCAGATGTCTCCAATAGCACACCTATGAGTAGCTCGCCAAACAATTCTGAAGGTACATGCAATTTTTACGTGTTCCACCTCAAACTGTCATTAACAAATCTCACATGTATCAGACACCACAAGAGCCCAGTTACGCTACTATCTAATCAACGCAACTTTGACATTATCCCACCCCTGCCAATTAATTTCCAGCAATATTGCTCGTCTGTATGGTGCACGCGTTTGTCTATCACTCCGTGTGTAGCCAGTTGATGTGATTAATGTTTTGTGGGTTAACAGAAATAATTTCCCCAAAACCTTCACAATTAAAATGTTAACTGCAAAGTAGGCTTACCTGGCAGAAGTATATCATGAGTAAGTATATCATGTGTATGGATTATTTGTTATTTGCTAACTTTGCAATGAACTGAGCAGCAGCAGTACAGAACCATAGCTAGACTGGCACATTCCTCACTGGCTAGATGCACAATTAAAGGGGAATTAAACTCAACAATCTAAATGTGTTCGTTTTCTTCCAGACCCCCCAAAAAATGTATTCTGATGTGATTTAACCATTGACATGGACTCACAACATCCAGTTGTGTTGTTTCTATATGAGCAATTGTAATTTTGAGTGAAAAACTTAAAGAAAATCGAAACCAGGAAAAATAAAAATGAGAAAACATAAAACAGAATTTGAGAAAAAGATCTCAGCTTTTATAGGGCCCCCTTAGAGTTGTTTATTAACTATTACTTTACCAGGTATATTGGCAGAAAACAGTGCACTACTTTCTCTTCTACACTAAGGACCTGGGGAAGAGTTTCAGGGGAGATGAGAAGAGAAAAATCTGCCTATTTGAAGGCTAGAAAAAATGAGTCGCTCGTGACCTGTTTCATTAAAAAAAAAGTAGCTCTCATGCTAGAAAAGGCTGGAGACTCCTGATCTAGTGTTTTGTCTTTTGAACTCCCATACAAAGACCACATAAAAGTTTCACATCAACATTAATGTGGTTGGAGAGAAAAACATTGTATTTTCAACTCACCACTTTTAGTACCCAAAGTACCCAAGATTCAGATCAGGTTTTGGATTAGACCAGTTTTCTGGAAGGGTTGTTTATGATGTTTGTAACAATGTTTTTGTAGTCTGTGTTCGTGCAAGTATGTGGTCAGTCTGTGTATGTATGGTATTACATCTACACAGAGATGATTTTAGTCATTTTCATGATTTAAATTCAATACCATTAATGGCCTGCTTGAATGTTCAGATTCAGTGCTTGTAGCAAATGTTTCTAACAGACACACAAACTTTGCCCCAGTAAAACCTGAAACATCAGCATCAAAATGTCTATGGTGCGCACAAAAGAACTGTCACCTTTCCCCCTATATTTATCTCTGTCCTAGATCTGTGTGTGTGGTGTCGTTGACGTGCATGGTGAACCTGAGCCCCTCTCTGTAGCCCCCTGGAGCGTTAGCCCCTCCATCTCACACAGAAGGAAGTGGTACAGCGGTGCGGTTTTTCCTGTAGAGAAACAGTGAGACACAACACCTGCTTCTGAGAGCAACCACAGTAGTATTGGCTTTAGGTAGAACGTCACTACCCCCAGGTCTTGATATCACTGTGCTGTTATGAAACACTGTTATGGAACACTGTAGTGTAGGCAGACAGTTTGGGGGAACAGACAGATAGTCAACCACTGTAGACAGGAAGTCATGAAAAACCGTGTCTTAAACCGTTATCAAATACGCAGTGACAAAATAAATGATTAAGGACACCTGTTGCACAAATTCGAATGTAAAATTCTCTGATTTTTAAAGAATGCTTGTTTGTATTACAGGGATCTGGAGATTACACAGAGGACTATGAGGGTGGCTTCACTGAGACCCCAGGGGGAATGTGTGACAAGTCCTGGGTGAGGGAGTTCCGGGGTCTCTACGAACCCCCTCTGTTCTGGCTCATCTTCGCCTTGGGCGCCATGGGCAACCTGATGGTGGTCTTCATCTTTACCACGGTACGCCACCGCCTCAAGACCATGACCGACGTGTACCTACTCAACCTGGCTGTGGCTGATCTCCTCTTCTTGGGTACTCTGCCCTTCTGGGCCGCTGATGCCACCAAGGGCTGGGTGTTCGGCACGGGCCTCTGTAAGATCCTCTCGGCCGTCTACAAAATCAACTTCTTCAGCAGCATGCTGTTACTCACCTGTATCAGTGTGGACCGCTATGTGGCAATTGTCCAGGTCACCAAAGCTCACAACCTGAAGAACAAGAGGCTGTTTGTCAGTAAGCTGGCCTGCCTGGCTGTCTGGATCATTTCAGGCCTCCTGGCTCTGCCTGAGTTCATCTTCGCCCAGATTAAGCCTGACCACAGGGGGAGTTCCTTCTGTGTCCTGGTCTACCCCAACAACATCTTCAACCGCACCAAGATCCTGGTGCTGGCTCTGCAGGTCTGTGTGGGCTTCTGCCTGCCCCTGCTGGTCATGGTGCTGTGCTACTCGGTCATCATCCGCACCCTGCTGCAGGCCAAGAGCTTCGAGAAGCACAAGGCACTGAGAGTCATCTTCGCCGTGGTGGCTGTGTTTGTCCTCTCCCAGCTGCCATACAACGGGCTACTCGTGGTTGATGCCATGCAGGCCGCCAACACCACCATCACAGACTGTGCCATATCGGGCAATTTCGATGTCGCTGGGCAGATTGCGAAGAGCCTTGCGTACACCCATGCTTGCATTAACCCCTTCCTGTATGTGTTCATTGGAGTTCGCTTCCGGAAGGATCTGCTGAGGCTGCTGAGGCAGTATACCTGTGGCCTGAACCAGAGAGGCCTCAGTAAGATGCAGGCAGTCCCCAAACGCCCCTCCGTCATGTCTGACACCGAGACCACCCCTGCCCTCTCCTTGTAACACAGCCTCCCTGAGACCACTCCCCCCATCTGGGAGTTACCACACACACCCACATATTCAACATCACCTCAGATCATACCGTTGGGTTGAATCCTAGCTAAAGATCTGTGTGCGCAATTCAAATTTCTCATTGACATCCATACATTTAAACATGAAAGGTTAATACCAGGGGTCTCAAAGTTAGGATTCAGCCCCCTGTGAATGCCTCCGACCTCATCATTCCTTCCATATGATATCATAGGCTGCTATGGACCGCAAGTTTCCAGGGCGACAAACCCAGCTGCATCCTGATTACATTGGTATTTTGCCAGTGTATACATTCATTGTTGTTTACATACATTACCAGTCAAAGGTTTGGACACACCTACTCATTCAAGGGTTTTTCTTTATTTTTTGAATAATTTATTGTAGAATAATAGTGAAGACATCAAAAGCATGAAATAACACATATGTAATCATTTAGTAAACAAAAAAGTGTTCAAATAGCCACCCTTTGCCTTGATGACAGCTTTGCATACTCCTGGCATTCTTCACCTGGAATGCTTTTTTCAACAGTCTTGAAGGAGTTCCCACATATGCTGAGCACTTGTTGGCTGCTTTTCCTTCACTCTGCGGTCCGACTCATCCCAAACCATCTCAATTGGGTTGAGGTCGGGGGATTGTGGAGGCCAGGTCATCTGATGCAGCACTCCATCACTCTCCTTCTTTGTCAAATAGCCCTTACACAGCCTGGAGGTGTGTTGGGTCATTGTCCTGTTGAAAAACAAATGATAGTCCCACTAAGCCTAAACCAGATGGGATGGCGTATCGCTGTAGAATGCTGTGGTAGCCATGCTGGTTAAGTGTGCCTTGAATTCTGAATCACTGAGAGTGTCACCAGCAATGCACCCCTCACCATAACACCTCCTCCTCCATGCTTTACGGTGGGAAATACACATGCAGAGATCATCCGTTCACCCACACCGCGTCTCACAAAGACACGGTGGTTGGAACCAAACATCTCCAATTTGGACTCCAGACCAAAGGACACATTTCCACCAGTTTAATGTCCATTGCTCGTGTTTCTTGGCCCAAGCAGGTCTCTTCTTCTTGTTGGTGTCCTTTAGTAGTGGTTTAGTAGCAATTCGACCATGAAGGCCTGATTCACACAGTCCCCTCTGAACAGTTGATGTTGAGATGTGTCTGTGACTTGAACTATGTGAAGCATTTATTTGGGCTGCAATTTCTGAGGCTGGTAACTCTAATGAACTTATCCTCTGTAGCAGAGGTAACACTGGGTCTTCCATTCCTGTGGCGGTCCTCATGAGAGCCTGTTTCATCATAGCGCTTGATGTTTTTTTGCAACTGCACTTGAATAAACTTTTCTTCAAGTTCTTGACATTTTCCGTATTGACTGACCTTCATGTCTTAAAGTAATGATGGACTGTCATTTCTCTTTGCTTATTTGAGCTGTTCTTGCCATAATATGGACTTGGTATAGGGCTATCTTCTGTTTATCCCCCCTACCTTGTCGTCACAACACAACTGATTGGCTCAAACGCATTGAGAAGGAAAGCAATTCCACAAATTAAATTGTAACACCTGTTAATTGAAATGCATTACAGGTGACTACCTCATGAAGCTGGTTGAGAGAATGCCAAGAGTATGCAAAGCTGTCATCAAGGCAAAGGGTGGCTATTTGAAGAATCTTAAATGTAAAATATTTTGATTTGTTTAACACTTACATGGTTACTACATGATTCCATATGTGTTATTTCATAGTTTTGATGTCTGTATGCTTTTTGTGTCCAAACTTTTGACTGGTACTGTATATCCCATACAGACAGTCAAGAAACTTACAGTACATCAAAAGCATACAGTTCTCTAGGTCCTTGTATAAAAGTGTACATTATTGTATATAAATTGTGTCAATGAGTATTGTTACCATGACTGTGTTACTGTGTTCTCTATTTGCAGAGTAGATGCTGCTGCAAATCCTCATAATTATATGTATTATAATTGTGAAAGTACTAATTAAAACTGAAATAAAATGATTGTCCTCTGTTGTTTGTCAAAGTGAGAACAGTCAAATCATTATCTTGAAACCCAATACCAGTTAGAATGCCTCAATAAGGCCTTTCATCAAGACGAGTCACTATAATGACACTCACACGCTTTTATAAGGTCATACGATTGAAATAGACAGCACAAAGGGTACATGAATAAATGCAGCCGTTTGAGTCACGAGAGCAACATTCACCTCTTATTTTCACCTGGTGTGAGAACACAGCAGACTGTTTTCAATGGTGTAACGTACGTTCTGTGGTGGGGAAACCGACTAGTGAGTGCAGCTTGTTGTGTCCACAACACTTTCACTATGACTGCAGCCTATGACTTGCTCTTAGTTGGCTGAGCAAGCACAATTGACAGTCTGTGTTGTTTCCCCATTAAGAAGCAGTTGTACCCCATGTAGGTCTGGGTATGACTTGGCATTATCAAAGTTGGTGAAGTTTGCCTGCCCCATTCATACTGGTATGAGAAATGTTTGCACTCATTCACCTCTGAAAACCGTTGAGTCAGCACCATTGGTTCAGACAGGGTGAAAGTAGCCTCGGCTCCAGGCTTCGCTCACATTGTGAGGTGAAAGCCTGTGGCAGAGGCTAGGCTGAAAGTGGCATGTCATGAAGTTTGACGATAGAGAATTTGATTCTGATCAACCTCATTCTATTGAGAATGATATACTGAAAAAGCCTTGTCCGCTGTTTTGTTGTTGACCTGAATTTAGCCTCAAAGCAGAGGAAGTTAAGTATGAAATCTAACTGCAATTTTTGTACCTTTTACACATTCCACTTGCTTTGGTTTTAATCACCATTCGTAGCATCAAAACACTTGTCTTTGAAGATTACCAGCATACTGTAGATGACATCAATACATACATGTGGTGCGTCTGAAAACTCATTATTGAGCCAACATTCTCAAACCCAACAGGTTGAAGAGAGGCATGAGATCGTCACAACCCCAACCAGCCATAGGCAGTATAGACACAGACACACCATTTGATCCGGTACAGGCAGACAATTTCGGGAGTGTTTTTCTACAGTTGGCCATGCTACTGAAACCATGGGAACATCAAAGGCCAGTAATGGTGAGCAGTTACTGGCAAGGCCCTCTTATCTCTTCACTCCTCCGTGCAACTGGAGATGGGGAAGCAGTGTGAGCTTTACTGTATGCTGTCTGCCAGTTGCATAATCTGTTTAATAACTCCCCCTCAGATGCACTCAAACCACCGCTATCAAAGCATTAGTCTGAAATCAGGCTAAATACCAAATAGACTGTGATTGACTGAAGTTGGGGTTAGCATAGAGGCATACCATGGCGTTCCATTTACTAGACTAAGCTAAAACATGCATTTACATTTCTAAATTACAATTGAGCATGGTAGGCAGTGCACGTGTTTATCATATAATGATGAAATAATTAAATTGTACTGCAAAGGGGGGATTCTCGATTAGATATAAAAGTTTTATGAGAGCTATGAAATTCAACAAAATTGTGATTTTGTGATAAGAAACTTTTCATTGTTTACTCACTTAACAAGCTGCTCTACTTGAAGCTCATTATGCCTCAGACTGAAGGTAAAAAAAAGCATGGTATGTTTTTGAGGTTAGTGAGGTCGGCATGCACAACTGTACCTGTGCAATTCAGGTGAGACCACAGACACACGCTTTCATGTCTCTTTTGTTCGGTCTGCTCATCACACGACAGGAAGCCATCAGTCATGTCAACAACTGGCACCTTGTATCCTTGTATAGTACTACTGCAATACTACAGACACTAGATCCCTGTACAAAAGCTACACTACAGACAGCTAGGCCTCCATAGGGAAACCAGCCAAATGAGTCACCTCCATCAGTGACAGCTTTCTCTCAGCTTCTCCTCTGCCTTCTCCGAAGTGACTTACTTAACTTTCTTTAAATGCCATCCATGTGGATGTGGCCTTGAAATGGTCATGAGTTACCTTAAATTGTTACTTTGCAAAAAGGTCATGTATAACATTTCCTACACACTCCTGACTGACTTTCCACCAATGACCAGTCACCCCCACTTCCAGTTTCCTGCAGGGGCGGGACTTCCTTCCCTGAAACACCTACTTCCAATCTAATTGACTGACTGATCTACAAATAATATTGAGTAGTTATTTATGATGCAAGGGGATTTGTAGATCAGTCAATCTCGCAACGTGTACCCAGTAAGCGCAGACAGACACTGATGTCTTTTTTTTGTCCTGTCTGGACCAGACATCTTTTTTTGGGGTCTTTCTTTGGTGCAGTCCGGACCGGCCTTGATTTCAACTTCCACAGACGTTGATTGTTGGTCCTAGATGTCTTCGTTTGGTTCAGATTTGGTCCGGTTTGGACCGGCCTTGAAGTGGCCCAAACATAAATGTCTATAACTGGTTCAGATTTGGTCCGGACCGGCCTTGATTTGGCCCAAACATAGACGTCTATGATTGGTTCAGAATCAATCATCGACATCTATGCCCAATCATAGAAGTTTCACAAGTGTGGACAGCACAGTTCAGTACAGTACAGTAGAGCACAGCACAGTACAATAAAGTAGAGCACAGTAGAGTACAGTACAGTACGGTAGAGTTTTAAAAAAAGTAGAGTACAGTAGAGTACAGCACAGTAGAGTATAGTACAGTAAAATGTGCTGTATTGTACCCTACTTTACTCTAATGTACTCTACTCTACTGAACTAAACTGTACTGTACTCTACTGAATTAACTGTACTGTATCGTACTGTACTCTACTGAATAAAACTCTACTGTCTTGTCTTGTACTGTACCGTACTGTACTTTATTTTACTCTACTGTGCTCTACTGTGCTCTACTGTACTAAACTGTGCCATACTGTACTGTGCTGTTCAAACTTGTGAAACATAGACTAGACGTCTATGATTTGTTCAGAATTGGTCTGGTCCAGACCGACCAAATGTGTACTAGTTTGGGAGCCGAATCATTAGAATAACACCCAACATGCTTTGCAAATGTTTGTTTTTAGATTTACATTTACATTTGGTGATTCAGCAGACACTCTTATCAAGAGTAACTTACAGTCTGTGCATTCAACTAAGCTAGACAAAAAACAACATATCACAGTCATAGCAAGAAAAAAATATTTCTGTAACCATTACTGAGAATGTTATTGTAGTTGAAGTCGTCTATTGGTTTATTCCATTAGTTGAACTTCTTTGAACATCATTGCTGCCAGTTTTAAAGCTTTTGAAAAAGCAATAAAATACATTCTATGTTGCAGTCTTCAGTTGGCTCCTCTTTCCTACATTAAATGAATTAAAAAATAATTATTGGGATATAATGCTTAC